TAAACAAGGAACTCCGTACCACACCTAAGTCAAAAAGTATCCTTAACACACGGTGACGACATATAGACTGAATCACAAAACTATGTAAATCACATAAACAAAACTGTTTGGCTAAGAACAACAACACCCTAAAATCAACCGACCAATAATGAATCACGACTCATCAAGTACAATGAGACTTTAAAAAAGAAAAAACAAAAAAAAATAGAAAAACAAAAATAAGCCAAACGTATATAAAAAAAAGACATTTAAAATCCAAACAAAAAAAGAGAGAAAGAAATCGGACCCAAGAAAGAAAGAAAGAAAGAAAAATGTAAAATACAAAGACACGGAAGCAAAAACTCGATACCAACTGAAATAAAGAAGAAAGGAAGAAAGCGAGAAAAGGAGTAAGAAAAAACGTAAACACATACTTAGGAAAAAGAGAAATGGAAAGAAGGTAAGAAACTGCACAATATTACAGTAATAAAAGTCTGTAAAAAAAGCTGGTGACTCGAACAGTAAATTGCAGATACAAAGAAAAACATAAACAAAAAAATAATTAAAAAAAAATGATCCTTTCTACAATACAAAATAATTATATATAGGTATATGTATATTATGTATATGTATACACGACACACACACAGCACACCCACCACACACATCATATTATATATACTATATATATATATATTATATAATATATATATTATATATATATATGTGTTTGTATATTTGTCTGTGTGTGGATGTGGTGTTTGATTTCATAAATTGTTGCTTCTAAATGTGTATCAGTCTGTGTGTTAAATTGTGTGTGTGTTTTTGTCGTGGTGTCGGTGTGTTGTGTGTGTTTATATTGTTGATGTGTGGTAGCTCGTATGTGTGGGTAAGTGGTATGTGTATGTGTATGTGTATGTGGTATGTGTATGTGTGAGTGTGCGGGTGTGCTGTTTGTTCATATGTGGTGTGTGTGTGTGTGTGACCTCTTTGCGATTTTGATCATTGGTAAATAATTCCTTTATCAATTATTGATCTGTGTGTGTTACTGTGGTACACTAATGTGTGTGTACTACATCATATGTGTGAATGTTAGGTATTAGCAGTGTTGTTGATATATAATATGTGAAAATAATATATTAATGTGTGTATTAGTTAGTGAGTGTATAATGTTAGTGACTGATAATACTATAATATATATATATTATATATGGATCTAGTTAGTTGTGCGTTGAGTGTAGTGTGTAGTAATAAGTGACATGTGTATGTGTATGTTGTGTGTTTGGTGTAATGTAGTATATTATTATAAATGTTATATATTACATAGCACATACAAAAATTTATACATATGTGTGTATACATATACAAGCACATACATATACATATGTGTGTATACATATATAAGCACATACATATACATAAGCGTACACTCCAAGCAGACCAACAAACAAATCCCTCACACAGCCAGCGAACAAGTCCAGCCCCAGATGACATTCATAAAAAAAAAAAAAACACCATTTTACGACCTTCCGGATTCTCCCAAGCGGAAAAGCGACCTTCCAGCAATAAATTAATACAATTAAGATTGTCGTTACGCACTTACGACAGCAATTGCGCCCCGGACCTTAATGAGCCTCGACAGCAAATGATATTATGTAATCACCGAGCTTACAGTTCTGGGAATAAATGACGCCAATGCATAAAATAATGCATAAACCTTGGGATTCGCCAGTATGTTAAATGCACCGTGGGGGTCGAGGGGGTGGGGTGGGGTGGGTGGGTGGTGGGTTGGAGGGGATATTTGCGTATGGAAAATTTTTTGCAGTAATGGTATTGTGTGGGATGTGGGGGTGTGTGTGGATTTGTGTCGCGTTTGTGGCGAAGGGATAAAGAGGAGTTGTAAGTGGGGATGATAATTTTAACGGAAGGGGGATGAGAGAGGTGCGAAGAGATAGAGAAAGAGAGAGAAGGGAGGGAAGAGAAAAGAGGGAGTGAGGAGGAGATGGGTTGCAATAGTAAGAGAGAGAGAGATAGAGACAGTAGAGAGAGAGAGAGAGAGAGAGAGAGAGAGAGAGAGAGAGAGAGAGAGAGAGAGAGAGAGAGAGAGAGAGAGAGAGAGAGAGAGAGAGAGAGAGAGAGCGAGAGAAAGAGAGAGAGAGAGAACGAGATCGAGAGACAGACAGACAGCCAGAGAGAGAGAGAGAGAGAATCAAAGAAAGAAAAAAAGAGAGAGAGAAAGACAGCGAGAGCGAGAGAAAAAGAGAGAGAGAACGAGAGACAGACAGACAGACAGACAGCCAGAGAGAGAGAGAGAGAGAATCAGAGAAAGAAAGAGAGAAAGCGAGAGAACGAGAGAGGGAGAGAGAGGAAAAGACAGACAGACAGGCAGACAAGCAGAGACAGATAAAGTCAAACAGACATAACCAAAAATAGAAAGGGGGGGTTTGTTGACTCCCCAATATCGGTTGCCTTCCTGATAAACAAATTGTAAGAGGGTTAAAACGTGAAAAATAGTAAGAGAAAAAAGGGAAAATGCATAAAGAAGGGGAATGGGAGTCAGAAAAAGAAAACTGGAGAAAGAAGGGGAGGTAGAGCGAGGAAGAGAAATAGACAGAGCGAAAGAGGAGAAGGAAGAGAGAGAGAGAATGAGAGGGAGAGAGAGACAAAGAGAGAGAGAGAAAGAGAGAGAGAGAGAGAGAGAGAGAGAGAGAGAGAGAGAGAGAGAGAGAGAGAGAGAGAGAGAGAGAGGAAGAGAGAGAGAGAGAGAGAGAGAGAGAGAGAGACAGACAGACAGACAGAGAGAATAATAATAATAATAATAACAGAGAGAGAGGGAAGAGTGAGTGTAGAGAAAGACAGAGAAGAAAAAATAGAACAAAAAAGAAAAAAGAAAAAGAAAATAGAGGAAAAGTCAATCAACAAAAATAGAAAATAATGGTAATAACATCAAAAATATTTCCACAAATTCCAAAACCACGATGGACGTCTACTCTCAGCCTCGCGTAGTTAAAGTGACGGGCTTCGATCTCTTAAGTGACGTGTGCGCGTGAATTTTTCATGACCTTTGACCTCCCCCTCTCCTGACCCCTGGGAGGAAGGAAGGAACATCTGATATCCTGTCATGTCTGACCTCCTGACCTTGCTGCCTTTGAGACCCTCTCTTTTTTATTTATTTATTTATTATTATTATTATTTTTTTTTTGACCTCCCCCTTATGTCTGACTTTCTTGGCCTCTTCTCTTTGACCTTTGACTTCCCCTCCTCTTTTGACGTCTGATTCCATGACCTCCTCTTTCCTTGGCTCCTTACTTCCCCATCTGACCTCTTGACCTCCTGACGTCCTTCTCCTGACCTCCTGACATCCTTCTCCTGACCTCCTGACGTCATTCTCCTGCCCTCCTGACGTCATTCTCCTGACGCCCCTCTCCTCTGACCTTATTTCCCCCCTCTTTTGACCTCTCCTCTCCTTTGTTTCTCCTTCTGATTTTTCTATTTTCTTTCCTTCTTCTTACTTCCATCCTCTTTACCTCCTTCTTCTCTTATTCTTCTTTTATCACCTTGACCTCTGACCTCTCTTAACCCTTCCTGACCCCCTCCTTGATCCTTTATAACTCTTCCTCACATCCTCACATCTCCTGACCTCTCGACCCCCCCCCCCTATGACCTAACCTCCCTCCCTGACTCTTTCCCTTCCTCCTTCTCCTTCCTGACCCCTCCTTCCCCTTCCCCTTGACCCCTGACCTTTCCTGACCCGTTCTGACCCCTCTCCCCTTGAAAAATATTCTTCCAACGACACCTGCTCGTGTTATTTATCGTTAGACTTGTCACGACACATAATTTTCTCCGCCCGGTCAACTTGAAATTTACCGTCATTTTTTTCTTCATTTTTTTTAGCTTATCTTTTTTTCTCTTTCTTTTCCAGCTTTCAAATTTACCGTCATTTTTTTCTTCATTTTTTTCTTTATCTTATTTTTTTCTCTTTTTATAAAGTTGTATATTATTTTCGATGTGTATTTCTTTTCTTTTCTTTGTTCGCTTGGCCCGAGTTCATATATTTGTTTATATTGTTTGTTTTTGTAGGTAAATAGACATGGATATATCAGATATATATGCACATAATTGATTTTATTCGAAATGAAAAATATATATATAGGAATATAGGATGATCTATTTTTCTTTATCTATTCTTCTCTCTCTCTCTCTCTCTCCTCTCTCTCTTCTCTCATCCCCCTCTCTCTCTCTTTCTCTCCACCCTCTATCTCTCTTTCTTTCCACCCCTTTTCTCCCTCAATCTTTCCCTCTATCTCTTTGCTTTTTATCTTTATCCCTGCCCATCTGTTTCTCTACCTATTTATTCGTTTGTCCATCATTCTATCTCCGTTTCTATCTTCGTTTGTCTTGATGACTTTATTTCTAATTAATCTCAATTTCTCCAGATGCAAATGAGTTGGAAATATCGTCATCCAAACACACCACTCTTTCTATATCTATTTAACTATCTATATGTCTGTTTAGTTGTCTAGCTATCTTTATCTCTATCTCCCAGTCACTCTCTCTCTCTCTCTCTCTATCTATCTATCTATCCGTCTATCTCTCATTCTCTCTCTCTCTCTCTCTTTCTTTCTTTCTCTCTTTTTCTTTCTTTCTCTCTCTCTCTCTCTCTATCTCTTCCTCTCTCTCTCTCTCTCTCTCTCTCTCACTCTCTCTCTCTCTCTCTCTCTCTCTTCTCTCTCTCTCTCTCTCTCTCTCTCTCTCTCTCTCTCTCTCTCTCTCCTGCCTCCCTCTCTCTCTCTCTCTCTAATTCTTTCTTAGCTTTCATTTTTCATTCTTTCAACACAAAGAACATATAACTCAGCACCATTTAAACAGAAAAATTAATTTAAAAGAAAAATTGAATCGTCATTGTACCAGATCGATTCCAAGTGTATAGATTCAATTTTTTTTTTTTTTTTTTAATAAATGCGATATAGTTGTCGTTCCATCAGGGTTCGCACCATGATAATTAGTCAATGATTCAACTT